GAAATGCCTGTCGCCGCGGCCGCCGTGGGCCACGTCGCCAGCGGGGCCATGTCGTGGCCGAACGTATAGTACGTTGCATCGGCGCCAAGTCGACGCCACACGACCAGCGCAGGCTCGCTACGCACATGCACGGGAATGCATCATTTCTACAAGAAAGTCGGACGGGTGTTACCGTAGCGGTGGTGGTGCCAAAAATGATTTGCATTCAACTCGGTCGATCGCAGCCACGGTTGTTGCGAGCTGGTGGTGGCCCAGAAGACTGAGCACCGCGTCCAAGCTCATGAGTCGCCCTGCGCGCGAGGTAGGATTGCGAGGTTTTAAAGAGGAAATCGCGGGTACAAAAATTACCTTCGAGGCGCTGCCAAAAAAAGTCGCGCTGCGCCGCGTCGGGATGCACTGAGCACGGCGTTGCGAGCGACGTCAAGATGGACTGCAGCAAGCGCAAGCTCGTGTCGGATGGCGCCTCGACGCTGAGCGTAGCGAGGGCGCGCACGAGAAGACTCGACTTTTGGCGCACGGTGGACGCGAGGTGCATGATGTATTTTTCACACGTCGGAAAGACAACGTGCCAGTGCTTGGCGAGGAACACGATGGGAATGTGCGGCACGAGCTGCGCCGCGACGTCCAAGAGGCCTTTGTCACATTTTAGCGATTTTATTAGACCAAAAGGACACACCGTCGGCGTGGGCAGCCGGCAGCACATCGTGCGGCGAATGCAAGTGAAGCTTGCTAATGACTTCTTGGAAGGTACCAATCTAGTGGTGTACAATAGTGTCCTGTGCATGCTTTCCATCGAAAGCGACTACCTGTGTAAACGGATCCGAAATGGCCACATAGTTGGTCATCGCGGCGGTCGCGTGCTCTCGGACGCTCAGCTGCTCGTTCTTCATCGCGCTGTAGACCGCCTAGTTGTTCGTAAAATGCTGAGTTCATTTGCGAGAAATGGAGTCGAGGCACCGGTTTGAGGTCTGTGAGAAGGATCGACGGCAGGTGGTCCAGCGTGTGCCCACCCAGCACATAGCCCGCCGATGGCACACGTTTTATGGTGCTCAACACCATTGCAAGAAGGTAAAAGCCGCCGTCCAGCGACCGCCACTCGGTGCCATCGGTCTTGCAGAGACGCAAAATATCGATGAAAATGGCCTCGAGCGTCGGCAACGGCAGCACGGGCACGAGATGCTTGGCGACGTAGCGCCCGCCGTCCTTGCGCACCTGCGACCACACGTCCGTCACGACCGTGTGGACCACCTCGACGACCAGGTCCATTTTCTACAAGCATAAATCAGATCTACATGCATGTGCGAACAAACTCCGAGTAGTACCTCGACAATAGGGGCCAGCGAGAGGCCGAGCACGCTGAGCTTGAGGCGAATGGCCGGGTCCTCCGTGTCGCAAAGGGCCTGAATAACGTCGTTCAAGGACACGTCGGGGCGCCGACGTAGCTTGTCTTCAAGCTCGACGACGTTGTTGTCGGTACTCTTGATACTACAGACACAATGTCCTTCATGTTAAAGTATGTCAAAAGGAGAACGCACGACGCGTAGCAGTCGAGCAGGAGCTGGAACGGCGCCGACTCGGTCGACTTGTGCGCTGTTGCGACGATGGCCGCCCGGGTCGCACGCATCTTTGACGGTTGTGGGCGGAAACTGACAGCGCGGAAGTTAGTTAACGTTTGAAACAAGTAGTGTACTTTCTAAGAGAACTTGTGATTGTTGAGCTCTAGGCCGGCAGGCACAACCTCATCGAACGTACTTGTGTTGCCTGTCCCAATGCAGCACCATCGCTAGAGTTACCGATCAAGTGTGCCTTTGATGCGTTGATTCTTGTGGAAACGCCGTGCAATACAACCGTGTCAGACGCCGCCATCTTCAAGTTCATTTTGCATTTCGCTCCTGGATGTGCTCGAGAAGCCACAATAGATGCCGTCTGGAGATCAACCTTGATGACTCAGTGCGCATAATAAGTGTACTGGTATATTATACCAGTGCACTTGTAGAGCTTATACTAGTCCGAGCACCTAGAGGAGGCGATGGTACACTAATCGTCAGAACAATGGTGGTCGTCAGTGACCCGGGGTCACTGACCCCAAACATTTAAAACTCAGAAACGGACATACAACGCGTATCCGCCTTCTTCGGAACATTCCGTTCGCATCAGGTTCCTGCACATCCTTTGCCACCACCGAGTTCATTTTCCAATTTACTCGAATGCTCTCGACGACGCTTGGTCTCGTGCTTCTCAACGTTGCCACCGCTTTGGGCTGCAACGCAACGGGCAAGACGGTCTCCGTCACCGGCTTCATCATGGACAATCTTTGCATTGACAGGGGCACGCTACTCGACAAGCCGCAAGTCAAGACGCTTCTCAACCCCGAGCTGCACTCGATCCACTGCCTCGTGGACGTCAAGGCGTGCGTGAGCTCCAAGTACACCGTCCTGTCGCCGCCAACTGGGAACGCATCGAATCTGTATTCGGTGGCATACCAGCTTGACGCCGGCACGACCGAGAAGCTCCAGGCGCTGGCCGAAGCCGCGCGGAAAGCGGGTGGCAACCAAGGCTTTGCAGCGACGTTGACGGGCATCGACGACGGCAGCAAGACGCTGCAGTGTGCCTCTATCGACCCAACGGTCAAGGTGGACGGAAAGGCCATGACAGTTACGAGCGCCGGCCATGTCACCCCTTTCCTTTCCTCCGTGATCGCGGTCGCCGTCGTGCTCGCGGTGTCGATGTAATTTGTCGTGTGGTGTACTCAGCCATCGAATGTAGAACCAAAATCCATGATTTAGAGCTCTTCTCAGTATATATATATATATATCAACGTGTTCCGCGTTATCTTCCTTACAAAGAGTTCGCATGTGTAGTGCTACGCCTCGCGGGAGTTGGAAGTACTAAAACAGTACTTTAAAGGCTAATAAATTGCAGTCACTATTCTTCGCGGCGGCAAAGGACCCTCTGCGAGTGCGCCTGTGCGTTGGCGAGGATCGACGTCATGATTGCGGCGTCGCCATTCGTGTCGGCCGCGCCGCTACTCCGCAACAACGGACTCAAAACCTGCGTACAAAATTCAATCCAAAGTACCTCGTGAGCAGCTCCTTGATCATGGCGCTGGACCCTTTATATTTGCGCGGCGGCAGCGCGCAGTAGTTGGCACCCGTCCTAGTACATCAAACTCCCCTTCAGTCGTTGTACAACAGAGTTGGGTGTACGCAGGGTCGTAATGCAGTGGATCCGTCGGCATTGTCTAGTGCGAGAGGGACGTTAATTTAACTAGGAAATATAAAGGACCAAGTATTACCGTGACTGCTTTGGAGCTAAACGTTTGGCTGATGACCTTGGCATCCATGGCTTCGATACGGTCTCGAAAACTCTAGATAGGGCGCTGAAAACAACAGAAAACATCGACGACATGGGTTCGAACCTGCTCGATGACGGCTTTTTGCGCCTGGAACTCGCGCATTTGGGTCTCGTTGGCCTAATTGTTGCGTTGACATCCGGGAGCTATCGTTTCGCTGTCAATGGACCTCGGTGCTGGCAGTCAGCTCTGCTTGCAAGGCCGTGATTTTGAGTTGCAATGCCTCTTCTTTTCGGCGATGAATGTCGCTCAATTCTGCTTGGAGGGTCTACAAGAGGTCAAGACTCTTCTTCGTGCTCGTTGGCGTACGAGGAGGCTCGCTTCGGCCTGATCGGCACGGTGCGTATGAAACTCGATCGAGTGGCGCAGGCCCTTGATCTCGTCGCGAAGCGCCTGGTTTTCCTTGGCGACGCTTTCCGAGATGGTGCCCGACAAACTCGCCCCATTTGCGCATTTGGTCGACGCACGCGTCAGACTTGGCTCGGACCCGACCTTGGGGCTTTCATCGGCACCGGGCGTACTCTAACATAGCAGACAACGTGTCGATGGCCCTAGGCAGCCGACGTGGTACTTCGTCTGCGGTCACGTGCACGGCACTCGTGCGTCGACGCCGCTTGTCGGCCGCAGCACTGTCCCTGCGCATAAGAGTAGGTTTTTGCTATTTTGAGCGGATTTGTCGACCGTGCAGCGTTTCCCTCAACACTTCATAAGAGCAATGGCCGCTCGTTTTGAGGTCAAATGACGATGCTTTGAGCGACAATTGTACTACTAGAGTAGTTCGTAATCTTATTCGCTCGTCGTTTCCATCTAAATCTTTAGAAAATTAATCTGCGGTGGTGGCATTGGTTGCTGGAGTCCCTCGACATGCTGTAAACATGACCATGGTGGGACGCCACGGGTCTCGAGTCGCTCGCAACAAAGAGCGAGCGCGATCGGCTTCAGGCGGCCGAGGCACGGATTTGAACGTAGCCAAAAATCTTCCTTTAGCGCTATCTACGGAGGTCCTCATTAACAAGTCTGACCATAGACGCGCGGCAGTTGCGCGTCGCTGCGATGCTTCAGAGAAGCCAATGTCGTACTAGTATCCCCAATTGCCGCCTCGTTGATAATAGACGCGATCTACGTCGGTGGGACGCGCTTGATTTCTGCATGGGTGTGGAGCCGTTCGCGCGTATAAGCCCGCGAGCATATCGTCATCATCATCCGCTCCGAGCGGCTGAGTTGTGGGACACGGGCACGACCTCTCGTGCCCGCGCCGCTACTGGATTTCTCTTCGTACCGTACATGCAACTGGCTCTGCTGCGGTATAATACAAGCTCAAGGCATGACTCAGAGGCTTCTCGTGCAACCAATGTATCATGCAAGCACGCATTTTTGGCTTGTGTCTGCATCGCTGGCGGCCCCACTTGAAGTCGCCGCCGACCGCGGCTGCTTCAACTTGCACAGCATCGGGCGCGGCGGAGGCTTTGCAAGTTTTAAAAGAATTGCGTCTCGTTCAAGGTATGGCTCTGCGACATTGGCGCTATAGAACATCTCTGGAGCTATCCTGGTCTGTGGCACGAGATTTTCGTGTATTCACTAGCGGATTTCTGCGCGTCGTTGGTGGTTTTCAAGGGATAGCTCTACCGTTTCTAAACGGTGAAGCGACGGGCGACGAACCAACGTCGTTGCCAGCTATGCATCGTGGAAGTAGTTGCAGTACGGTTGGCTACCTTGAAGCCAATGGCGGTAGGACGTTTTCGCCACGTGGCCATTTGAATGGCGCGGGGAATTATTCGCGCGGGTGGCTGCGCATCTACTTGATTTCTTCGTACCAGCTGGTTCAAGTTGGGAGCCACTGGTGTCACACAATGGACCCAACGTAATTGAACGACGAAACGTCCACGTCAAACGACGCCACGCGTTAAACCTAAGGTTAAACTTCGTTCAAAGTGATGCAGACCGGGACCGCGCGGTTCACGTGCTGATTGCGCCACATTCTATTAATGCAACGAGCTATGAAAAGAGCATGGAAGATGTCGGGTCGAATGGCGTTGCTGCCCATGGTTGTGTCTAGTTTAACGCAATGACGTTTTTGATAAGACGCCTGCGGGTAGGCGTTAAACGCTGTTGGGTAAACAGAGCCGGTCACCCATGTTGTATGATACCGACTGCCCACGTGGCGCACCGGCGGCAGGTAGCGGCGGGTGAGGTTCTGGGTGAGGTTATCCATTTCGCTGGCAACCGTACGGCAACCGGCGAGGCGGCGGCCGCCGTTGCACCACGAACCCGACAGCGCCTATCTATGCTTCAAGAGCGAGGTTGTTGATCATTTGGGATGAATAATGGTGTTAAAATAAGTAAACTAGCGGAATAAATAGGGCGCATGGCGTGTTTAGCAGAGGCGCGGTGCTTCGTCGACGGTCGCGTCGTGCAGCCACGAGTGCTGCCAAAAGTTGAGAAGCTCGAGCTGCATGCCCGCGTCGAAGTCCTTGCCCTTGGCGTTGAGATCAAAGGGTGTCGTAGTCGGGCCCTGCAGCAAGGTCGAGAGCTCGTCTTGGGGCTGCGGTGTGTCGTAGAGCTCGGCGATCCATTCGTCGACGCGCGCTTTCCGAGCCAGGTCGGCGGCCGAGAGGCTGCGGTGGCGAAGTTGCGAGATGCGCTTGCGCGGGTGGAGCTCGTTCTCGACCTCGAGGGCAGGCAGGTCGACGCAGCTAATGCTGCGCTTGATACAGGTCGAGGCGGATCGCTTCATAAGGATGTGCTGCGTTGTGGGAAATTTGGCAAATGGCCGCAGTAATCACATTCCAAAGAACAGCCACGGCGCGTGCCACCGGGAAAACTCCGGGTTTTGCCAGCAAAAAATATGCGGCGCGCTCTCTGGCCATTTGTATGCGACGCCGACGCGCTCGAACTGTCTTGGTATTTGTATACGCTACGCGCCATTTTATTGGCAGAAACCGAGATTCAAGTCAAGGGCCGTTTCGGCATTAAAATATTGTGGTTTTTCGGCTGTTTTATTTTACGCATTTCTTAAAGCCGATACAAATGCAAAGCATAGAATATGAAAAAGTAAACCCGGCCGCAACAATAGAGCTCGTATTTTAATTCGTCCTCTACAAGCGTTCCGAAACGCACCGTTTGTTTCGTTGAAGTCCAAGCGAACAAACGCGTTTGATTGGTCGATTCTGGTTGTCCCATGTGACAGCGCCGTGTAATTGCCCGCCCAAGTGCGACTCAAGACGCACTTTATCGAGTGTTGCCCACCACTGGATGCAAGTTGAAGTTGGAAAATGCACTTCAAGGTGAAGAAGAGATCTTACTGCTGACTCTGGCATCTTATCTTGTCCGAGACCTCGACAACCACAAAGTACGCATGTCGAATAGTACGCCACTCGATAGTAGGACCGGTCGAGTGCAAGCGGGGCACCGAAAGCCAGAGAAGCTTGGTTTGTTGCACACGGACGATCGTCCATCGAGACACACCAACTCAGCTCGGGCCTTCGGAAGAAGGCGGTACGGCAAAGACACGCTGCGACGACCTCACTGTCATTGGCGCGGTAGAACGCTCGGAACATTTGCACTTGGCACTATTCAGGACGACCGAGGGTGCACTTGAAGTTGGGTGCCGGAAGCATAAAGGCACGCTCTGGTTGGACGATGATCGAGCCAATCATGAACAAGAGGCCCTGCACTCGACGAGCAAATGAGCTGGACAGAAACAAGAAGGGACCAACCCGAATGCGGTCGATCCCATGCTAGCTTTCGAAAGAGAACGCCCAGCCTTCAAGTTCAACTTGCGCTCAGTCTTGAGCGTGGTGCATGACGCCCGCGTCGTCATGGATCTTTATCCGGCACATCCGGAAAACCGACCAAGGACTGCACGCAGCAAATGCGGCGCCTATCAGAACCCACCCACTCAGTTGTATACGTCAAAGAATAGTTGATGACCGATCTCTGTTGATGTCAACCTTGGATCTGAGTTTGGCTCCTGTCGTCGACCGTGACTCCAGATCTTAAAGGCCGGAACGTGCTGGACGGGCGATCGCCCGAGGACAGGAAGAAGAGCTGCAAGAAGTGTCGGAAGAAGACCCTTGACATCCTTTGCTTCATGAGACCCGCTCGTATTAACTCCCATGACATTTTCGTCCATGTCAAGGAATGGAGAGGTTTGGCTACGTAAAAACGCCGTCCCACTCGTGCCTGTACATCTCGGCTTGAATCTGTAGACCTGAGCACCGTCGCTCGGTCTTCTTTTTTGATGATGCATAACGCGCGTGAATCAATCTGATAAGGCAAGACGCGCAGAGACGCGTGTGATAGCGGCTATAAGATCAAAGAGCAAGTTGGAAAAAGGCCATATCGATTGGAATTGTAGTGTACTAGAAGTCTGCTGTGCATCATGGCCGTGTTGCTATTTTTACGTCGTTTTGGCGCAACCGTTTGTTCTAGTGACGCTTGATTCTAATGGAGACGCTGACCAAGGTCTTTGCGACGACGCCGGGCACGGAGGAGATCAGTCTCCAGCATGCCCGCCTCTACTCGCTCGAGCCTCTCTTGCCTCTTCTCCGGCAGTTCAAGGAGCTGCGCCACCTCGACGTGAGCCACAACGGCCTCTCGTCGCTTCCCACCGAGATGGCTCAGCTCACGCGACTGGTCGCGCTTGATGTTTCGCACAACCCATTCCCATCGATACAAGCCGTGCTGCCCGTGTTGCAGGAGCTCCCGTCGCTCAAGAGTCTGTCCATCACGTTGGCGTCGGTGACCGACGAGAGTCTCGTCATGGCGGCGCTACCAAAACTCCGCATCCTCAACGCCGCACCCTTGTCCTTCGGCGGCCCCCCAAGTTACACGCCATTCAGCCCGCGCCATCCTCCTCCTCCAACGGCACATTGCCGATGGTATGTATGCATACGCTTGTCATATTGCACACAAGATTGTCTGATTGTGCGCACTAGGATCACGTTCAAAACGTCGCCAGTATTGTCAGCGTTCTAAAAAGCATTGGGGATCCGTCGCCGGACGAAGCGCTGCGCATGAGCCGCATGTTTGACCAGCAAATGGAGCTCGTGGCCATGTCGCTCAAGCAAGAATTGGCGGCCGGCGACCACGAGGCAGCGACGTTGCTCCACGCAAAGTTCAAAGTCCTCGCCGCCTGCGCGAGCCTCGCGACACAGAAAGCCGGCGAGTGCCACCCGGAGCTCGGGCTCGCTATCCAGTCGCTCACGTTTCTCCACCACGAGTTGATGACGTCGTACCACGCACTCGTGCTCACGCTTGTCGACGCGAGCCGCCACGTATGTCGTCCTCTTCCTCGCATTTTCTCGGAACATGCGACATACCTAGGAAGCGGCGCCCGGGCAACTCCAGCAGCTTTTGGAGGTGGCCGAGGGCCTCGAGACGGACCTCCAGACGAGCCATGCAGCCTTGGCTCTCGAGAAGAAGCGCGTTGCGCAGCTGCAGGATGAAAACCTCCGGCTGCGGCATCAGCTCGGCGACAATCGGCCGCGAACCCCGAGCATTCACCCTCACGAGGTCGCGCCTGTCGTCGCGGCCAAGCCGCCACCGCCGCCACCGGCGCGAAAGGTGTCACCACCGGCCGTGCCCGTCGTGCTTGTCAAGAAGGACAAGCCAACGCGCCAGGAAAGCAACAACAACCATTCTGCATCGCGGCCGCGGCGCCCTGAGGTGGTCGAGCATACGATCAAGCCGTCGATGCTGCCGCCCGCGGCGTCGCCGACGCCGACGACGGTGAAAAACCTGACGTTAAAGCAGCTCCGCGACATGATTAATGCGATTTACGCGTCGAAAGCCAAGCACGACGAGATGTGCGCGGCCAACTGCGCCCCGAAAGAGACGATGGAGCAGCACATGTACACGTATTTGAACCAGCGCTTTGGACTCCAGTCCCTCATTGTTGAGTATGCAAGCGCTATCATGAAGGTACATTTTCTATCAATGTATCAATATTGCATCTCTCGTTCTCTAGGGGTGCACGCGGTACATGAAATCGGACGCGGACGTCGCGACGTTCTTTCATGTCGTGCGCAACGACATGGACGAAGGCTTCTTGCGCTTGAAGAGCAAGCTCGAAGAGACCGTTCTCGCCCTCCTCCGCGCCTTCCTCCGTGGCCTGCACCCGCGCAAGTCGGAAGGTCCGCGTCGGTGTCGAAATCTACATATTGGATATTGTTCTCGTAGGCGCGCTCAATCAGCTTATCCAAGCCAAGCTCATGGACCAAACGCTATTGAGCGAAGACGAGTGGCACAGCGTCGTCAAGTACATGTATGACGCGCACGACGTACGCCAGTAGAAACGACGGCCCGCACTCACATGGGTCTAGTGTCACGCGATCGTGCGGCTCGTCGAGTCGCAGGTCGTGCAGGACGACAACAACGGCAAGCGCAGCCTTGCCTATTCGACGTTTCGCAAGGTATGTTTGTATGGTTTTCCAGATACATTGGCATCTAAATCGGTGCAGATATTGCTCAACTACCAAATGCACGGGCGACTGCGCATGCTCGAGGAGTTTTGCCGCCACTTTCAGCAAGTGGATATTGAGACCGTTGGCGTCATCTCCCAGGTGCGCTGTCTGCTGCCATAGGAATAGGTTGCCTCATGCAATATCGATATATAGCAAAGTCTCGTGGAGCTGATGATGCGGTATACACCGTACAAGGTAACAACAAGATAGACACTTCAGCTTCTATCGTTGAATGATAATCCGATCTAGACGGAGGACGAAGTCGACAGCGTTGTGCATCAAGCCGACCCCCACGGCACGAACGCCATCACGTTTTCCGATGTAAAGTTCCGATCCGCGACCTTATTTTGCAAGGGAATTGTTATTTTTGTAGGCGGTTGAAGTGCTTTTCAAGGACATTCGAAGCCACAAAACGGCGACAGTAGGTGTGTCCTAGTCGTTCGCTGCGTCGTATGACCAATGCATATGCATCCACCTTGCGTGGGACTGTCCATGTTGTCAACCCCTTGGTACAAAGTGTGTTTCTCGCCCAAGAATCTCACATCAACAACCAAGTTGCTCGCATGTACAATATTGTACTCGTATCTATCGCCGCTTCTTCATCTTGACCATGTGCTTAGCTTTCTTTGTCTTGGCTGACAGCTTTTGCCGCAGCTTGGCCGGATCACACTGCAGCTGCTCAAAGAGAGACTCCAATTCGTCCGTGTCCATCGTGGGGAAGTCCGTGCGAAGGGCCTTGAGGTCTCTCTCGCGCTGCGCACTCGTGTCGGCACCGGTCTCGACACAGATTTTACCCTGCATTTCGTGACCTTTTACGCAATTTCCCGGACAGTCCTACCTCGGTGACGGGCGGTGGAAGCGGCAGCGGCGTCGACATCAAGTCGTCGTCGACACTGCGGATGCTGTCGTAATGCTCGTCGTTGTAGTAGCACACGTGCCACGCCCGTGCCTTGGCGTGGCCGCAGTCGATGGTCGTGCGATTGCCATCGACCTGGAGAAGAGTATCAGTGTATCAACTTGCAGGCCCTGAAACAACGACCTGGTGGACGACAATGTGGCGCTGCCAGAGCAACGACGCGACGTAGAGCTCCAAGTTGCCGCCCAGACTCCGTCGTCGGCCATGCGCGAGCAGTACTACACACGCATTTCCGTCGTCTCCTCCATGTCGTCGGGAGGAATTCAACGTGATCAAACGCTTCCTCGTCTTCCATGAACGGCTCGAGATCGTCTTGGTGGTCTTTGATGTATTGTACAATGTCCTACACGGATTGAGACACAACGGCGAGCAAAGGTCATATTGGGCTAGAAGCGAGAACCTTGCGAATCACGGGAAAGTGCGTCTGGTCGCCGTGCAGCTGGTCGCTCAGCGCGCTACCATAGAGGCGTCGTATCGCGCGGCTATCGCATTGCAATGCTAGTACCGAAACAAGCAGTTGCCGTCGGCTTCCATCGTCTACGCACGGCGGTCATCAAGGCTGGCGAGCGAGGCGAGGCGCCTACCACCAACTGCAGCTCGAGGCGCGCTAGCTGCTCGCGCAGCTTGCGCATATCGACGCCGAGGGCATGCGACCCGCGGTTCTTCTTCGACGCCGTCTTCTCCGCCTATGCGATGCAAGCAATGAGGGCGAGAGCGACGGTCCCGAGGACAGACCTTGGCGCGCTTGAGCTTGCGCTGCTTCCCTTCCCGGCCCATGTTGCCCAAATGCAGCCGATTGGGCATTGGGCAAGGTATTTTAGCCAATCATCATGCCGTGTTCGGCCAAATGCGATACTTTTCAACCAATCCATGCATGACAAAAATGGACCCTGCGGTGACACGACCGATCCAAGCTAGACGCTCGACCCGACGTGAGCACAAGCAGGTAGCAGAACCCGAGTAGGTCCTATTTTACATCATATACTGCTTCCACCTCCAGAGGTCGCCGGTTCGATCCCGACGCGCCGATTCTTTCTATCCGGACATCCCCCCATCCGGACACGAATGTCACTGAAAAACGGTCACGGCATGTGCCACAAAGAACACAAGGAAGAAGCTCGATGAAACGGTTCATTTAAATAGGGTTAAACGTCAAATGCACCCGTCTGAAGTATTACATCAAAGGAAAGATATGGGCTTTTACCAGATTAAGGTCAGCGCAAGATTATTGTGCTTTGAAAGTTGGTGGGGGGTCACCGCGGTGACTGTGAAGTTTGGAATCATGCTGGCGTGCGCTCGGGCAAGAGAGCAGATACCTTCTAAATTATCTTGTCACGGGACCACGTGCAGAGATGGACCTCATTCCCAGACGTGGAGTTGCCAATGTTGATGGCTGCGACCTGATTTAATACTATTTGCATTTATTTAAAAATATCATCCAGTCCAGAGACCTCAATAGTCTATATACATGAAATGGTGTGTGTTGGAACCAACTAAAGCATGGCACACGCCCAGCTCCAGCGTGATCTCGAAGCGTTAGGCTGCCCGACCGAGATCCTCGCGTCGTCGCCGCTGCAGGTACATGGCTCCAAGCGTGAGCTGCTACATTGGCTGCATGCACGCGCCCGGGCCTACCTCCATCAAGCGCTGGGGCCAACGTCCGGGAGCGAGGCCGACATGCTCTTGGCGCGATGGCTTCTGCAGACGGTACGCTATCCTAGCCGATGCCTGCGCTCACACTAGCACCACGCAGGGCGTCGAGTCGCAAGACGTGTGCGCGCGCCTCATCAATGGGACGCTTGGCGTCGACCGCACGAACGGCTACCTTCGGCAGGTCCGTCGCCTCCACGCCTGTGCTTTCCACAAGGCAGCGTAGGTGGTCGATCAGCTGCTTGGCTTCGAGGCAATCGCCACGCACGGCGCCGACGCCTGCGTTGCCAATGCTAATATGCTTCTCAACGTCGTGTGCGCCAACGAGGTAGCGTCGTTCCAGCACCGCATCGCCGTTGCGCTGAACCACGTCCTGTCTAGGCACTCTTCTTGGAGACCAAAATGACGGGACTGTTTCCGCCGAGCTTCCACGCGTACCTCGCGCAGCCTGCACCGTCGGTGGCCGACGAGCATCGCCGGGTCGCAGCGGTATACAGGCTCCGTACTCTTGTCCCACGAGCCTCACGAGCTTGGCGCAGGAGCTGGATGCAGCCATGCGCGAGTGCGACCGACTGCGGCAGCAGTACCCCACCTTTGACAAGGTGCGCCGTGGTCTTTTCACCCTGCGCACTCCGCGTCGACTTAGGATACCATCGTGCAAGCGCCACCGACATTGGGCGCCCTCGTCTCGGCGCTCGAGTTGCAGCTGCAAACGTACGCCTCCTCGAACGAACCAACTCAACGCCATATTATCCTATTCTTACTTAGGTTTGCGCTCAAGTACCGTCAAGAAGTGCAGGTGTGGCTCCGCTCGCCGCTTGCGAGTACTCGTGAGGACCAGACCATCGCGTCTGGCACGGGCAGCCTCGTCACATCCCGGACCAAGCCCGCGCTCGATGAGTGCGTAGCTTTTGTCGAGCAGCTCCAGGTACAGCGATGTCACTGGCCTGCGTATATGCACCGCACGCGTGAGCTAGTCGGTCCTCGCACACGCCGAGATGGCCAATCAGCGCGCCAGCACAAGGTATCGATCATCTCTACCTGCGGATCAAGCGCATGGCGGTGCGTAGCGACCTTGATAGCAGCGATTTTTCCGACCAAGTGGCAGCGCTTCTTGAAGAGATGAACGTGCTGGAAGCGGCGCTGGCGGGGTCGTAGTTGGCGACAAGCGACAAAGCACATTTTAACGCTCATGTCGTCGTAGTACAGGTCATATAAAGTACTAGGAGAACGCAGTACCCTTAGCCCAGAGCTGCCAGCCCCTCCATCCATCCCTCGCGTCCTGCGCCATGGTTTGACGCCTGTTTCGAAGCGGAGATGGCCGAGATCTCCGCTGGCCGCATCTCGAGAGACACATTAGCATCAACATGTCACCTCTGCACGCGATCATGCCAGCATCTCGCTGGACGCTTCGACGCCAACGGCTCGTGTCTCTGAGAAAATTGCCATGTAATTCTTGCCCCCTGAGCCCACGACGAGCGACGAGCGACCGAGACGCTCGCTCCAATCGAGCCGTACTATCGGTATCGAGCACCAATGCAGCAAGCTCCCATCTGCGTCGACCATTGGAACCAATTTCCTTGATTGGAACCCACCTTGGAACCCACAGCTGGCATCGATGGGATCAACTTCGTGTCCAAATATGGACCAGAAAGCGTCCAACATTGCAATAAATCGTCCATTTCAAGCCTTGAACCCGCCGCGTTAAACTGCCATTGCCGTTGCAGGCGTAGAAGGTCGACCGCGAGTGATAGAAGGACCATCAGGAACGCGTAGGGCAATACGAGCGCGTTGCAAACGGGTGGCCAACTTGACGGGCCCTTGCCATACAAATTTCGAGAGTACTGTGGGATCTCGCCCGCTTCTTAGAGCAAAATCGAGCATGGACGGAACCCGACGTGTGCCCAAAACGAGCGCCATCAAGCTCGCGCAGGCCCGCGCCCTCCAGCGGCGGCAGCGCGCGGCCGTCAACAGCTACGTGGCGCGGCTCGAGCTTAGCGTCGACGAGCTCCGGCGCGAGACAGCGCGG